CCTCCAGGACCGAGTTTGGACAGCCCTGCTGTAAGTGAATAAGTGAATGCTGTTTATGCTGTTATAGCAATGTGCCCCTCTCCAAACATGCACACAAATATGTTTTCTCATACTTCTCTATTTATGTAAAGAGACATTTCAAACTACCAGATACATGTCCTTCTCTCTCTCTCTCTGTCTGTTTATATGTTTCTCTTTTGTGTGGTCTGCTAAGTGCTCTTGGCTCAAATGTCTCCATGTTTTTCCACATGCAGCTCCTCAGATTGATGGATTCTGAGTATCCGTGGCGTTTTTCACTCATTCTGATGTATATTTTGCTGACAGGACCGCCAACGGCTCTCATTTTTCCTGTCGTTCCATTCTTATGAATAAAATGACACACATTGATGTGTCTCCTAGACGCCGGATCACTTATTTCTTCAACTTCAACTTCTGCCAACTCAAGCAAACATCTTGCCAGTGGAACGCAAAGGTACGAGTGGGTAAATTGAAAATTGTGGCATAAAAAGCAGAGAATGGGCTCGTCGTGTGTGTTTGGTTTTAAGTGGTATGGAAGACACCTTCAGTATGAGAACAGGGTCACAGAATGATGCAGTTCACCCTTTCCCATGGTGCATCTGGCACAGCTCCAGTGTTTGTGTGTGTTGATTTGTTTATCTTCCATGTAACCCTTCTGCATCACACTGATTTATGGAGATGAACTCAAGGCATGGAATAGAGGAGAAATAGAGGGAGTTAGAGAAACAGGAAAAGAAAAAGGGCAGTTTTAAATGCCTTTGGCTTGTCCTGTCATTAGTGGTGCTTGTTGTCTGTGGGATATTTTTTCCTGTTTTATTGTCTGGCAGGTGAAAACCATCCAGTAACTAAGTAAAGTATCAGCTCTTCTCAACAAGCCTCGTGGTTTAAGGTATCATTTCTGTCCGTAGCGCAAACGAACAAACCCCCAATCTGAAGTACGAGCACTAATAATAGTGATGTTTGCTTTAACAAGCGCCACTAATTATTATCGTTATGCCATTATATCAGCTTTCTTCTTTCTTTGTCCCTGGTGTTTTTGTGCGCTGTCAGTTATAACTTTGCTTTCTCTGTCTCTCATTATGATGGTACCACCCTCTGTAATTACAGTCCTCTGTTTGCTTATGCGGGAGAGAATGGTTTATCCTCATTCTGGGGATCCCTAAAGAATCACTGGTGCCCGTCTAACATTTATATTGCTTTATTTCATGTCACTGGACTCCTGCGTGTGCGGTTATTAAAAAGCATATTTGTCTGTCATCTTGGGCAACGGAGACAAAAGACATGATTTATGAGTGTAGCATTGGATTTTTATGTATTTCAATGTGCTATCTCCTCTATGTTGTGGTTATCTTCTCTTTTTATAAATCCAGAGTGCCGCAGCTGTCCGTGTGATGTGGGTAAGACATCCATATTTCATTTTATTTCGCTCTGGATCAGTGTTCTCCACAAGTTTGGCCGACATGAAAAAGAACTGCCTTTTTTGCATAAATTCTATTTAGAAAATCACAAATGTCTTTGTGGCATCTTCAGGAATGGAACAGTGTTTTTTGTTTTAGTAACTGAAGTACAGTTTACATTGATACATTTTTTGTTTTAATCTGATGTAATTTGGGAATCTGATCTTAGTATAAATTAAAAGTAGTGCCCAGGTACTTCATCATGTGGCTTTTTAAAGGGGTCATATGATGTTGCTAAAAAGAACATTATTTTTTGTATTTGGTGTAAAGAAATGTGTTTATGCGGTTTAAGGTTCAAAAAACACATTATTTTCCACGGAAATGTTACGCCCCTTACCATACTGTGATGCCGTGTCCTGGATGATGACTTATACTGTCTTTTTACGCACTGCGCTGCATCGTGCCGCGTAAACATAAAACCATGTCTGCATTTGTGATCGGAGAAATGACGAACAACAAGCGC